CTGATCTCGCAGTTGCCGTCGTCCTTGGGGGGCTCCCACTCGAGCTGCGCGTTGAACCCCCAGACCTCGCGCACCTGCACGGCCTGGGGGGGCCCGGGGCGCTCTGCGGAGCGGGGGGGTCAGCGGGGACCCCCGACACCCCCAAATACCCCCGCGGGTCCTCAAATACCCCCTGGCTCCCCCAAATACTCCACTGGCGCCCCAAAATACCTCCCAGGAGCGCCCGGGTACCTCCAAATACCTCCCGGGTGCCCCCAAATATCCCCCGGTGCCCCCAGGCCCCCATGCCCAGTGACTCCAGTGGGTCCCCCCCATCATTCCTGGCGTTCCCAGCCCCATTCCCAGACCTATTCCCGGCATTCCCAGCCCCATTCCCAGCGTTCCCGGCCCCATTCCCGGCGTTCCCAACGCACCCACGACGCGCAGGTTGATGTTCGCCGCGTCCTCCATGTTCTCGATGCGCACGCGCAGCTCGTAGCGGCCCCCGTGCCCCCCAACCCCGGCGTTCCCAGCCCCATTCCCGGTGTTCCCGGCCCCATTCCCGGCGTTCCCGGCGTTCCCAACGCACCCACGACGCGCAGGTTGATGTTCGCCGCGTCCTCCATGTTCTCGATGCGCACGCGCAGCTCGTAGCGGCCCGAGTGCGCGCGCGCGGCCGTGCGGATGAAGAACACGGTGTCCAGGTCCGAGGTGCGCGTGGCCACGTCGGCGCCCAGCGGCTGCCCCTCCTTGGTCCACGTCACGCACGGACGCGGCTTCCCCTGCAGCGGGAATGGGCACGGGAACGGGAATGGGAATGGGGACAGCGCCGGCACCGTCGTGGTGACAGCACCATCACCGTCACGGTGACAGCGCCAGCACCATCGCGGTGACAGCACCATCACCGTCACGGTGACAGCGCCGGCACCATCGCGGTGACAGCACCATCACCGTCACGGTGACAGCGCCGGCACCATCGCGGTGACAGCGCCGGCACCGTCGCGGTGACAGCACCATCACCGTCACGGTGACAGCGCCAGCACCATCGCGGTGACAGCGCCGGCACCATCGCGGTGACAGCGCCAGCACCGTCACGGTGACAGCACCATCACCGTCACGGTGACAGCGCCGGCACCATCGCGGTGACAGCACCATCACCGTCACGGTGACAGCACCAGCACCGTCACGGTGACAGCGCCGGCACCGTCACGGTGACAGCGCCAGCACCGTCACGGTGACAGCGCCGGCACCATCACGGTGACAGCGCCAGCACCGTCACGGTGACAGCGCCGGCACCGTCGCGGTGACAGCACCGTCACGGTGACACCCGCATGCGTCCCAGCGGGGACACCAAGGCCACATGGTCCCCACACGGGCTGCGCAGTCCCCACATGGACCACAAGGAGCCACGTTGTCCCCAAAGGGGCCCCATTGTCCCCACGAGGATCCCCAATGGGCTGCATTGTCCCCACAAGGGTCCCCAAGGGGCTGTATTGTCCCCACAAGGGTCCCCAAGGGGCCCCCATGGTCCCCACAGGGTCACATGTGTCCTCAAAGGGGCCCCCAAGGGCCCCAGTGTCCCCTGAAGGCACCACAAGGGCTCTGAGGGACCCCAGAGGGCCCCAAGGGCCACCAGGGACCCTATAGTGCCCTGGGACAGCAAGGGACCCCTATAGCGCCCTGGGGCTGGAGTTCCCCCCTATAGCGCCCTGGGGCTGGGAATCACCCCTATAGCGCCCTGGGGATGCGAGGAGCCCCTATAGCATCCTGGGCTGCATCCTCCCCCTAGAGCACCCCATAGCACCCTATAGCACCCCATAGCGCCCCATAGCACCCCATAGCGCCCCACGGCACCCCCGTCTCACCTGGAAGGGCACCACCAGGTTGACCTGCTCGCCCACGCGCCGCACGTAGGTCTGGCGCAGGTGCCGCGGCAGCCGGATCCGCGGGCGCTCTGCGGGACACGGCGCTGCGCTCGGACCGGACCGGCACCGGGACCAGGACCGGAGCGGGACCGGAGCGGCACCGCGGGGCGGCTGCGGCCGGACCGGACTGGGACCGGGACCGCGGAGCGGGCTGGAGTGGGAGCGGACCAGAACCGGGACCGCGGAGCGGGACCGGGAAGGGAAGCGGCGGCTGCGGCGGGACCGGGAGCCGGGAAGGGGCTGCAGCGGGACCAGGGCAGGGACCGAGTGCGGGGAAGCAGCAGCAGCAGCGGGCCCCGGCTCATCCCAGTTCATCCCGGCTCATCCCGGCACGCACCCACGATCTCGCGGATGGTGCCGGGCTGCAGCAGCGGGGCCGGGACCAGGACCAGGACCGGGAGGGGAAGCGGCAGTGGGATCGGGACCAGGACTGGGACCAGGACCGGGAGGGGAAGCGGCAGTGGGATCAGGACCAGGACTGGGACCAGGAGTGCATGCGGGGAAGCAGCAGCAGCAGCGGGCCCCGGCTCATCCCAGTTCATCCCGGCTCATCCCGGCTCATCCCGGCTCATCCCGGTTCGTCCCGGCACGCACCCACGATCTCGCGGATGGTGACGGGCTGCAGCAGCGTGGCCGGGGGGCTGCGCCCCGCCATGTTGACGCCCACGACGCGGAAGAGCAGCCGCGCGCCCGTGGGCAGCCCCCGCGCCGTGAAGCCGCAGCGCTCCACGAGCTCCGTGTTGGCCGGCAGCCACTCGGACGCTGCGGCAGCGGGAACGGCAGCGGGAAGGGGAGCGGGAAACGGGAGTGGGAAACAGGAGCGGGAAACGGGAGTGGGAAATGGGAGCAGGAAATGGGAGGAAACGGGGAGCGGGAAAAGGGAATGGGAAACAGGAGTGGGAAATGGGAATGGGAGCAGGAAACGGGAGCGAGAAACGGGAGCAGGAAACACGAGCGGGAAATGGGAGCGGGAAACGGGAAGACACGGGGAGCGGGAAAAGGGAATGGGAAACGGGAGTGGGAAATGGGAATGGGAGCAGGAAACGGAAGCGGGAAACGGGAGTGGGAAATGGGAGTGGGAAACCGGAGTGGGAAATGGGAACGGGAGCGGGAAACAGGAGCGGGAAACAGGAGCAGGAAATGGGAGCGGGAAATGGGAGGAAACGGGGAGCGGGAAAAGGGAATGGGAAACGGGAGTGGGAAATGGGAATGGGAGCAGGAAACGGGAGCGAGAAACGGGAGCAGGAGCGGGAAACACGAGCGGGAAACAGGAGCGGGAAACGGGAAGAAATGGGGAGCGGGAAAAGGGAATGGGAAACAGGGAGCGGGAAACGGGAGTGGGGCGGGAAACGGGAGGGAATGAAGGGTGGGAATGAGGGGAGGGGGGCAGGAAACGGGAGGGAAACGGGAGGGAATGAGAGGAGGGAATGAGGGGAGGGGGACGGGAATGAGGGATGGGGGCGGGAAATAGGAAGCAGGCAGGAATGCGGGGGGAGAGGGGTGGAAAACGGGGAGGGGGGAGTGGGAATGAGAGGGGAACAGATGGGAACATGGTTAGGGAGACAGCGCTGGGAATGTCCCATTGGGAATGTCATCCATTGGGAATGTCCCATTGGGAATGTTGCCCATTGCGGGCAGGGGATTACAGGGAGCAGGACTGGAGGGGGTGGGATGGGATTGGGGTGGGATTAGGGGGTGGAACTGGGGGTGGGACTACGGACACAGGATATGGGGAGTGGGGTGGAGCGCGGGGTGGGGGAGCGGGATTCGGGGATCCGGGATTCAGGGGATTTGGGATTCGGGGATCCGGGATTCGGGGGATCCGGGATTCCGGGATCTGGGGATTTGAGAATACAGGATTTGGGGCTATGGGACAGGGGGGACAAGGGGGATCCAGGATTCAGGAGCCAAGGGGCTGCGGAGCTGGGATTGGGGGCAGCGGCTGGGGGGCTGGTTGCAGAGCAGGCTGTGGGGCAGGCCATGGGGCAGGCCACGGGTCAGGTCGTGGGGCAGGCCATGGGGCAGGCTATGGGGCAGGCCACGGGTCAGGTCGTGGGGCAGGCTATGGGGCAGGCTATGGGGCAGGCCATGGGGCAGGCCACGGGTCAGGTCGTGGGGCAGGCTATGGGGCAGGCTATGGGGCAGGCTATGGGGCGCACTCACAGCCCTCCTGGCAGTACTCCACCAGGTAGCCGTCGATGCCGCCGGCGCCCACGCGATCGGGCGGCCGCCACTTGAGGGTGGCTGTGGTGTCGGTGACGTCCTCCAGCGTCAGGTGCGTGGGCTCGCTCGTGGGCGCTGTGGGGCGGTGTGAGCCCCCCAGGTGCCCCCCGGAGCACCCACGGGGGTCCCCAGCCGACGGGGGTGCTCCCACACCCCATGGGTGCCCCTGCTCCCTATTGGTGGCCCAAAGCACCCAGGGGTGCTCCCATCTGCCAGGGAAGTCCCCAGCTCCCCAGGAGAACCCCCCAAACCTCCTAGACCCTCAACCTCCTTCTCAGACCCCCAACCACCCCCAGTCCCCCAGCTCTCCCTTGAGGACCCCCAAACCCCCCAGACCCCCAAGAACTCCCCAGCTCTCCCTTGGGCCCCTCCAGCCCCCCTAACTGCCCCCTAGCACCCCCCCAACCCGCCCCATAGCACCCCATAGCGCCCCACGACGCACCGAGGGGCATGAAGGGCTGCGTGTTGCGGCTGGGCGCCGAGACGCCGATGCGGTTCACGGCCAGCACGCGCATCTCGTAGAAGACGCCCTCGATCATGCGCGTCGACTCGAAGGTCGTGGCCGCCAGCACCTCGAAGTTGAGCTTCATCCAGCGCATGGAGCCCTTCTTCTTGCGCTCCACCAGGTAGCCTGTGGACGGTGGGACGGGGCGGACAAGGAGGAGCAGGGACAATGGGGACAACAGGCACAAGAGGTACGGGGGGACAACGGGAACCAGGGGGACAATGGAGTCGATGAGGACAACAGGGACAATGGGGCCCGTGGGGCCACGTGCCCCGCGCTGGGGACGCTGTCGCCGGTCCGCTCACCTGTCACCGGTTGTCCCCCGTCGAACTTGGGCGGCTCCCACACCAGGGTGGCCCAGTCCTCGCCCACCGAGGTGACGCGCACGGCCTCGGGGGGGTCGGGGACGTCTGCGGGACAGGGGGGACACGGGGGAGACGAGGGACAAGGGGGACACGGGGGGACACGTGAGGACGGGCCCCACGCGCCCCCCTGCCCAGCTCCCCGGCCCCAGGCACGTCCCTGTCCGCAGGCTCCCAGTGTCCCCTCCCCAGCCACCCCGTCCCCCCAGGTCCCTGTCCCCAGCCACGACATGTCCACCGACCACGGTGACCAAGAGGAGCCCCCATCCTCGTCCCTGTCCCCATCCTTGTCCTTGTCCCCGTCCTTGTCCCTGTTCCTGTCCCCATCCCCTCCGTCCCCAGCCTGTCCCCATGCCCCCATCCCTGTCCCCAGCTGTGTTCCCGTGTCCCTGTGTGCCCACGGTGTCCTCACGGTGTCCCCGCGGTGTCCCCACTCACCGACCACCTTGATGGTGATGGTGGCACTGTCCTCGCCGGCCGGGTTGGTCACCGTGATGCGGTACTGTCCCTCGTCACCGCGCTCGGCGCTCTCGATCACCAGGCTGCTCAGGTCCGACTGCTGCTCCAGGTGCGCCCGGCCCTCCGTATCCGTGAACGTCTGCGTGGCCCCGTGGCCCCGTGAGCACGGCCACAGCGGGGACAGGGGACAACAGGGACAACGGGGACAGGGGACATGGGGACATGAGGATGCGGGAACATGGCACGTGGGAACATGGGTGGGGACACGGGGACATGGGGGACATGGCACGTGGGGACATGGGGACACGGGGATGTGGGGACATAGGGACATGGGGACATGGGGACGTGGGGACACGAGGACACAGGGACACAGGGCTGTGGGGACACAGGGATCTGGGGACACAGGGATCTGGGGCCATGGGGACATGGCACATGGGGACACGGGACACAGGGATGTGGGGACACAGGGATCTGGGGACACGGAGCCATGGGGACACAGGGACACGGGGACATGGGGATATGGGGACATGGGTCTGGACCTGCTCGCCCTTCACCCAGGGACATGGCATGTGGGGACACAGGGACACGGGGACACGGGGACACGGGTCTGGACCTGCTCGCCCTTCCACCAGGTGACGGTGGGCGCGGGCTCGCCGGTGATGGGCACGTCGAGCCGCAGCTTGTTGCCGGCCACCACCACGATGGTGTTCTCAGCCGTCTTCCCCGAGCAGTCCAGGTGGATCTTGGGGGGCTCTGGGGGGGCAGCGGGGGGCAGTTTCCCCAGCGCCCCCCCCGTGCGTGTCCCCCCCGCGGTGTCCCCCCTTGTCGCGCTCACCTTGCTTGGGGACGTACTCCACCTTGATCTCTGCGGCACAGGGACACGCAGCGTGAATGGGGGGGACCCCACGTGTCACCGGGGTCCCCAAGGGGCACCCCAGAATGTCCCTGTGTCACCAGGGTCCCCAAGGGGCACCCAGGATCCCCCCCCCATGTTACCGGTGTCCCCAAAGGGAACCCCAGGACCCCCCACGTGCCACCAGTTTCCCCAAATGGAACCTCCGGACCCCCAAATGTCCCCAAGCAGTGTCCCTGGTCCCCCCCCCAGTGCCACAAGTGCTCCTCAAGGGCTCTGGGGGCCCCTGGGTGTCCCTGCTGTCCCCAGGTGTCCCCCAGTGCCCCCCAAGGGCTCTAGGGGCCCCTTGGTGTCCCCACTGTCCCCAGGTGTCCCTAGGGGTCCCAGCCCCCACTGTGAGCTTCCCAGGGGATGCCCTGGACCCCCCCAATGTCATGAGTGCCCCCCAGGGGCTCTGGGAGCCCCCCGCTGTCCCCCACTGTCCCCGCTATCCCCACTGTCCCCTTGGTGTCCCTGTTGTCCCCGCTGTCCCCCGCTGGTCCCCCCCTGTCCCCCGGTGTCCCCCGGTGTCCCCGCAGCGGCACCCAGGAAGTTGAGCTTGGCGGACAGCGAGAGCGCGTAGCCGTCGGGGATGAAGGTGTAGTCGCCCTCGTCCTCGGGCCGCACGTCGTCGATCACCAGCGTGTGGAACCTGCGGCGACGGCGCCACGAGGGGACTAGAGCGCCCGGGGCTGCCAGGGCCTATAGCCCCTAGAGCCCCTATAGCTCCCACAGCCCCTAGAGCCCCTAGAGCCCCTAGAGCCCCCACAGTCCCTAGAGCCCCTAGAGCCCCTATAGCTCCCACAGCCCCTAGAGCCCCTAGAGCCCTTAGAGCCCATAGAGCCCCCACAGCCCCTAGAGCCCCCACAGCCCCTAGAGCCCCTAGAGCCC